GTGTGTGTGTGTGTGTGTGTGTGTGTGTGTGTACACAGAGATGACCTTGCTCTATTTTATTGATCAGTAATGATTGAGATGCAGAACGCAGTGAAGGTAATCCCATCAATGTTCATGGATTTAGACCATGTGGTGTGTTCATATTTAAGTGTTAAAGAAGCCTCTAAAGCCTGTCTATTGTCTGTCTGCATGGGAGGAGGCCATCACAGAGGGATTACTGAGGGTTACGTAGCGCTTTTGGATTACGCACCACGAGACAACTCTGCTGCATATAGGAAGAGGGCTGGAGGAAAGGAGCATCTGGACTGAAGCAGCGTCTGGACAAGCAGCTGATAAGAAGCAACTTTTTGGAGGATTCCACCCCTGATGTGATCGAACAATTTGTACGTTATTTTTACTCGTGTTTGTCCAGTGGAGTTTTTCTTGTGACTTTCAGTTCTTTTTGGTAATTTGTCCCACTTTTCTTTTCTAAAGCCTGCAAGGAGATAGTAAATCGGAGTGACCGCCGGTGATCTGGACAGGAATCATGTACTCAAACAACAGGAGAAACATCTTCAACACAGAAAAGAGCAAGAAGAACATAAAGAGAAAAACATGTGAGTGCCAACACACACAGCTTATATTAAACTGTAGCATCGTTCTGCAAGTTTAGTCTCGACACCGTTCTCCACCTCAGGGGCTCACTTTAAGACAAATCAGGAAGAGGCAGTCATCCTGACGTCACAAAAGGTGGAAAGCAACAAAAAGCTGGCGGAGGATGAGGCGGAGATGTGGCGGACCGCCTTCGGGAAGGCTCTGTATGACCTGAGCCACTCAGAGCGGGTGCTGGATGACCTGACATGCGGTCGGCGGGTGGGGTTTTACGAGCTGAGGGGGGAAATTGGTTCTGGCAACTTCTCCCAGGTTAGATTGGGAATACATGACCTGACCAAAGGTGAGATTTTGGAGTCTTTACTTTGAAGTTTTCACGATTGGTTTAAGCTGCGTAGACATGAGTTTTAAACCCAAATCTTTCAGTGAACTTTTTCAAGTTTCCTCGCTTTGGCTTGAACCACAAATAAGAAGTCAAAGTTTAAGTAAACGAGAAAAAAAAAGAAGCAAAACATCACTTTAGTTGATCAAAGGGACAGTATGCAGTTAAAAAGAATGCCTGACAAGTTTACAGAATGAATGATGGCCAGTTGAAAAACTACATCTTCTGCTGGTTCAGATGTTATCAGTCCATTAAATGGACGTTATTAGTGGTTATCAGTCCCATAGAATGGCTTCAGACTGTCCCGACAGACTCTAGTGGGTTACCAGTGCCATACATGTTGGAATGCAGCAATCTGCTACTGCCAGAATCCCGTCTACTTTATCGTAGCCCATGTCATTTTCTCTAAAATTAACTTTAGTAGTTTTATGCCTCATATTAACCAGATTGCATAAAAAAAACCTTAGTGGCTTTATACCTCATATTAACCACATGACAGTCTGAAGCCATTCTATGGAACGGAGAACCCACTAGGTGGCACAGTCAGGACAGTGAAGCCATTCAATGGGACTGATAACGGCTAATAACTGCCATTTAATGGATGATAACATCCGAAGCGGGTGCCATCTTCTTGATTTTGTTGCAACTTTATTGAAAAATTGCCGAACACTAAAGAATCTTGTGTGCACACACCCTCATATAAAATAATTGTCAATGATTAAATAGAAATTTATATAAAATGTTAAATTAAGCATGTACAATAAACATAAAAATATAAAGCTGCAAGAAGAATCAGTTAATGAGTGCAACATTTTCTCTAGTTGGTAAGCAATCATTTATTGTTGCACAAAATATGAATTTGATTGGACACTCAGGTTCAGAACAAATGTGCATACATCCAGCTCATCAGACACACTTGAGTAAGCGTGGGTCATTCCACGTGTCAGAAGATACATAAGCTCATTAACCTGGCCCGACTAATCCATAAATATTTTCATTCTTTGCTTCTGCAAACGTGACATCTCTGCTGAGGCGTGCGGTTGTTAAAGAGCTAGACGAACCCGTACGGGAAGATAAATAAATAACAGGGTTGCAATCTTAACAGCATTCTCTTGTTCATTTACCTCACGGACTTTGTCTGTGTTCTGATAGAAAGAGTGGCAGTAAAAGTCCTGGATAAGGAGCGCCTGGGCAAACAGGCTCAGGCTCTTTTCGCCTCGGAAATCGCCTGCATGGAGAGGCTGTCCCACCCCAACATCGTGCGCCTGTACGAGGTGGCAGAAACCCCGCGGCGGGTCTACCTGGTGATGGAGTACGCCAGCGGAGGGGAGCTGTTCTCTAGGATCACCATCAGAGGGCGGCTGTCGGACCTGGAGAGCAAGCTTGTGTTTTCACAGGTTCTGTCAGCAGTCAAGCACATGGTGAGGAAAGTGGGCGTTGTACAGTATTTAGTTGGAAAACAAAAGTAAAGGAGCTCAAAGAGGGTCAAAACTGTTTATATATGAATACTTTCAAGTATGTAAAATGTAGGATAATCTGACCAAAATGAAAAAAGTGCCCATGTTTTATTTGTGTATATTTTAAAAAAATAGTTTTTTCATGTGACTCACATTGACAGTAACTTTCTATAACATATATTTTTCTCCTTTTTCAGCATGATAATAACATTGTCCACAGGGACCTAAAGGCTGAGAATGTGTTTTACACCAACACATACTGCATTAAAGTTGGGGATTTTGGCTTTAGCACATGTTGCTGCCCCAGTGATGTACTTTACACATTCTGTGGTTCTCCACCTTACGCAGCCCCTGAGCTTTTCAAAGAGAAAGGCTACGTTGGACAATATTCTGATCTCTGGGCAATGGGGATTTTGCTTTATTTTATGGTGACTGCCATGTTGCCATTTGAAGCTGCCACCACCAACAGGCTGAAGGCTTGTATCCTGCAGGGCTCCTATGCCATTCCTTCCTATGTGCCCCAATCCTGCCAGGAAATTATTAAGGGCCTCCTGAGGCCAGTTCCCATGGACCGCCTTACCTTGGCACAAATCATGACAAGCAGCTGGATGAGAGGCATGGAATACCCTCAGGCTTACTCGCCTAACAAATCCACGCCGTCTCACCTGACTGAAGCTGAATACGTTCTCACCTCGGATGAACTGATTGCCAAGGCTGCCCTGGAGGATCTTGGCATCACCAGCGTTCATCTTCTCAACAACAATCTAGACTTGAGAAGCCCCATCACGGGGGCCTATCGGATTTTGGTGCACCGGATCCAGAAAAGGAGATCTGTAGAGGCAATAGGCGATACCTGGCCATGCAGCAGGGAGTCCCAGAACAGACCCAGACAGAGAGCGGGGTCAGAGAATCTGCTGAATAAGCGCCACTCTGGAGTCTGTGCAGTAATGTAGATTATTTTCTCAGAATAGGTTTTAAAAATATGCATGCATTATGCCTCCTTTCTGATATATACAGGTAAGCGTGGCTAAAGTCCTGCAAGAGCATGAATTACCTTCAAGCTACACTTTTTCACTGAATTATTATGCCTTTTACTATAAAAGTTGTTTTGCTGTCACCTGAGGTTTCTTATAGAGCACAGTTAGAGGTGAATGAGTATACAGCGGCAAACTCTGTGAACATATCTGGCACTAATTTGTGCGCTAAAATAACATCCAGTGCGTCTGCAATACAATCTGCTTTTAAACCACCTGAGCATGGAGAAATTCCTTCAGGGCTACAAGTGACCCAAAGATCTCTCCTTTAGTGAGATTACTGGAACTTAAGACATAGCCAAACAACATGGGAGAGTTTTGGTTTCAGATTAAATAAAGTGTTATTCACAAAAATGAGTGCTCTTTGGCCTGAAGGGTTTGAAAATGTAATATATTTTGGTTGTATCTGATTTAATGCAAGGTGTTATTTTCTACATTAAAATACTTAAATTGCACATACAGTATTATTGTTATATTTTCTGATAATAAATAAAATATCTAGAGAAGTCTATTATTTTTAGAACACTAGATAACAAATATGAGCCTCGGCGAAGTTTGACTTTCACCCTGAATAGATCTAAGTCAGCAATTAAAACCAGACTGTAGCACAGTTTGTATAGGGACTCAGTGGTCCATAGCAA